TCTGCGTTTAGACGTAAAACTGCGTTTAGACGTAAATCTGCGTTTAGACGCAAACTGCGCTTAGACGCAAACTGCGCTTAAATGCAAACTGTGTTTAGACGCAATCTACGCTTAGACGCAAACTGCACTTAGATACAAACTGAGAATTAGCTTTTACATCATAATAGTTTTTATTGAACGAACGCGCCTTTTGGTTTTAAAATCGCTGTAAGTTTTCCGCTACACTAATTCACCCCCCCCCCTCTTAGTGTTCTCGATCCTAACACTTTTATGCAGCTTAAGCACTTCACTAAATTTTACTTAAGTTGCTTTACTCCTTAGTTTGCATTAAGTTGATAGTGACTCTCGTGCCTACCATTTCACGGGTCAGCCCTCTATTAAGTCTGATCTCTACATCGACTCTAAGTGCTCATTCATTTAGTATTGCCTTTGGTCGCTCTCCCATTTGATCTTACAATACATCCACCAACACATTACTTCTTGTGAGATCATGCGATGACTCCTTGTCACTTATTCGGTTCATTGAGTTTTGTGGAATTATTATCTTGAGATACCCTTCCTCAACATGTACAGTCCATTACATATGATTCTTCATATGGAAAATTGAGACTTATCCCTCCTAGATATAAGTTCCATTGGAGCAACTTTTCTTTTCGCATCATTCCCTATATAAGCTTTAGAGATCATCAAATCTATAGATTACTTTGTCTTACTAAATAAATCGTGTATTGTTTTGCCCTCGCAAATACACTTCTTAGATTATGGCTCTTCGCCAATACAACCCCTATTGTGTCCCTTAAGGCCTAGCAACATGTTGAACTTGTTGCATACTTCACTCTCCTAAGGATGTATCCATCCCATGTTGAAGAGAAAGTTTTAATACTTCATAACGCCGAGTTTTAGTCACCTTGGGATGACCATGAATAATCCATCATTCATATACAAGCCCTTTTATGAGTGATACATTATTCGAGTTGATAATTTTTCTCATTTCTATGAGCTTTGTATAGCTCTTTTAGTTTCCAAGCAACCCATCTCTTATTGCATAATCTTATCCTTTGCCAAGCACCTTGCTTGCCTTGAGCACCATCAAGTTTAGTTGTTAACGTTGAGCCGTAACTTGAATTCAACTATCCTAACCTTTACGCGCTATGCGTTCATTTTAGCTCGTTTGTTCTTGTGATGCCTTTGAAAGGGTTAGTCATTCATCTGAATTCCAATCTTGGATGCTCACTCCTTTGAGTGACTTATTTTTCTATATCTCAATAGTCATTTCTCTTATATAGTCGAGCATGCTGGTTGCCCTCAACACAATCTTGTTAGGTCCCTCACGTTTGTATGCAAAGTATTTCTAAGTAATTTTATCTCACTCTGATACCCTCTATTACAGACTTAGTTGGTTTTATCTAAGTCGTGCGATACTCTTGTGTCTATCTACAAAGAATTAGTCTATCTGAAACCTTTTATAGTCTCTAAAGAACTTACAAAAGAGAAGACGAATTAGATGAAACGTTTAACTTAGGATCTTATAATCAGTCATTTCAAAAAATATTTAATAAAGAATATAAATTAAAAATATAACTTCAGAAGCTCTGAATAATTATATGACAAAATGTTTAAGGTGATCCATTATGGTCAAAAGTCACCACATGATACCGTTACGAAACACGATAATGAACTAACTCTAGACACTACCCAAAAGCTTATCCAATCATGTGCCACCTAGGTTGCTCATGGGTGTTGTGTTTGCTAATACTCCGCACTACTCTATGAAGTTTGAAATTTCAAAAAATAATTTCCTGTATGATCTATTTTTAAATAGTTTTACCTCTACCCAATAATTACACACTTACAAATATAAAATAATCATAAAAATTAGACTACTAAACCTATTGTAAGCCCTTCTATATGTTTGTGTAAAACATAAACAAAATCAAGATGTAAAGATATATATATATATATATATATATATATATATATATATATATATATATATATGAGTATTACTTCAAATATCTTATTTATAGTTTTATATGTGATTATTTGGGTGAATATATTTATTTTACTTTCATGTACAATCGAATCCAAGAAGTTTTTACTATCTGAATATTCATATGAGCTATTTAGAGCACATTGAGGTGTTTAAATCAACTAAAAAAATTAAAGTAAATATGAATTGAATCGGTTTAAAAATGATTTGGTTGAACCTTGTTGAAGGTCATTCCGATTCGGGGTACTTATTTTCAGTTTTATTAATCGGTTCATATTGAACAGACAGATTTTATAAAATACTTTTGGATACTTGAATTTAGATTTCACAAATTGATGATCAACAAACACACACACACACACACACACACACACACACATATATATATATAATAATAATAATAATAATAATAATAATAATAATAATAAACCGAATCCTTAGAGGTTCAAATTGATTTGAATTAAATCATTAAAAGTTAAATATAACTGAATCGATGTTTTATTTGATTCGATTAAAATAAATTAAGTTTAAATTGAAATTGATTCAGATTTATCTAATTAAATTAGTTCAAAATCGATTAATTTGATTTGATTAATCAATTAACTGGTTTATTATATATATATATATATATATATATATATATATATATATATATATATATATATTGCACACTCAACAATTGCTATATATATAAAAATAATATAAATTGTAAAAAAAATAGAAATAGCTATGCGGAGCTTTACGGGACTCAAGAAGAAGACCATCGGTCAACATAAGCATGATGAAACATCCTATTTTATTGTTTGTTTGGGAGGCCATGCAATCTCCTTGTGATAGCTTGGGAGACTGTGTGATTCATAATTCGCCTTTTGGGAGTCATAATAATGTAGTATTGTGGAGACTGATAGTGTATGTATTGTGCACTCCACTAGCCACAAGTAATCATGCTCTGTGCCCCACTGTTGACTGTCTTCTCTCTTCTCCATGCAATTGCCATTCCATTTCACAACCTTCTCACTTCTAATAATTAATTATCACATACCAAGTGATAATTAAGAGAACAATAAAACCTAACTCAACATTTTTCTTTTATGACGTATCTTTGATATCTATTATTCTACGCCAATTTATAACGACTATGATTTCGCTTATATTAAACTCCTTATTTATGGGCAGCGCTCTAAAAGCCGTGCCGTTTGTATCGCACACACGCAAAAGGGCAGTGCCGTGGAACTGAGAGTAGTGTCGCGTATCTCGGGCTCATCATTACCCGTATCGCCTCCACCGCGGTGCGTGGGGCAACTCTGTCCCCTTCGCCCTCGACACAGTTCGACGCCGCCTGTCGGATCATCCGCACGCAACTTCTATGCGGGAGATGCCAGTGAACGATCGAGATGGCTGTCTTCGACGTACGGACGGTGCGGATGGTTTACGTACGAAAGACCCTATGCGTGACACCGAGGCGTTCGCGTCCGCACCGGGCTGTCAGTTGGACCCCTCTAATCCGAAAGGACGCCCCCCGATTTATACCTCCGAAGCTGTTCCCCACCGAAAGCGACGGCAGGCGGTGGGTCCCGCTGTCCCGGGCCTGTCGGGACACGTGGTGACGAGCGGCTCGAGCTCTGAGCCCGGTCCCCGTCTCGTCTAAGCCTCACGGGCTGTCGTTACGCGCACAGCCATCGGCCGCTCATCCGACGGCCGCCGGCGTCCCACCTCAGCGCGTGATCCACACGCGTTCGAACTGGTCGTCTGAATCGCCGGAAGCCGAACTGCTTATCGTTTCTATACTATTTTTTCTCGAGCAGTTAAACCAATAACGGGCCACTATTATTATTTTTGAAGGACAGCTGTAAAATTAATTTTCAGATGATTTAACTGCATCGGTAAAACAATCGATTTACACGTGGAAGCCAACGCGTCCTCCGTCTCGTGAAAGCAAACCTGCTTAAAAAGCATGGTGAATCAATCGGCTTTGGGTTCGGCACGTGGCTGTTGTTGGCCCCGAACACGGACAGCATCTTCAACAGAGAGCATTACCAACACATTGTTTCGATTCGACGTTGTTGTTGTTGTGATGAATTAATCGATTACCAAAGATGGTTAATGCAACGGGAGGAGCAGCGGGAGCGTTGTCCGCACTGCTTAAGATAAGACGCCTTTATAGCTGCTGTTAATTGATGCTTCTTGTCAGCCACGGAGTGTTGCTTGCCACGGCCGAGACAGGGAACACGTTGGTATTCCCCTCCCGCTCACACCACCTCGCTGATGTCTGGCAGCTGGATCCCTGACAATGCTGTTTGCTGGCTCGAGCGAAAAAGGTGATTTGGGAACTTAATTATACAAGGGGACAAGAGGTTGTTGGGGTCTACTAACAGCCAACCCCGCCCACATATCTTTTCCGACCCGTTATCGCACCACACCGATGGCTGTCGGCCCCACCCACTCTAATCTAATAGAGGGAGGGTATCGGTGCGGTGCGGTGAGAAGAACGCCCTCGCTCTCCCTCTTCCGATCGCGCTGCATAAAAGGGGCCCCGTCGCCGGTCTGCAGTAAGCGTTCCCCGAGCCGACTGCCAACGGACAGGGAGAGTCGCGCCAAGGGAGGATGCAAGGGGTTTGTGGCTTCGACGGAGGCGTGGCGTCGCCTGAGTCGGTGTCTTCGGTCTCGAAGGCGGCGGTGGCTGCGACGGAGGGGGGAGAGGAGGAGGGTCTGGTGGTGGACGACGTCCACGGTGGAGCAGTGGGTGAGCGGGAGGAGGAGCGGGAGGTGGAAGTGTCGAACGGGGAGGAGCTGGAGCTGGGACTCACCTTGGGGGCGGCGAGGAAGGCGAAGGCTGCGCCGGCTCGGAGGGGGGCGTGTTGCCGCATCCTGACGGCGAAGGACTTCCCCTCGCTGGCGGTCCGCGCGTCAAGAAGGTCCCACTCCGGTTCCCTCGCCTCGTCGTCCTCCGGCACCAACCGGGCCGGCGGGACGGCCGGGACTAAGCGCGCGGCAGAGTCCGTCTCCCCTGACGTTGGTGGTTCCCCCCATCCTCCCAGGTGAGCCTTAGGTTATGTCTCTACCTCTCTTGCCTTCTCTTTTTCTCCCATGTTCATCCTTTTCCTTTGCTTCCCTTCTTTACTGCCGAACGTCTCAGTAGTAAAGGTTCCTTTTTTACTCCTTTCTCATGTTTATGTCGTTTTCTTTACTTACAGCTCACCAATATTTGTTCTATTTAAAGACAAAAGTCACTATTTTCTTTTTTGTATTTTGTTATGTAACTTTTAATCAGTCTTCATGTATTATTTTGACAAAGTATTGTTTTGAGCTGCTGATCTGCTTGAATGCTACATTCAATTAGTTTTCATGTACTATCATGTCAATGATATGAGCTCAAAGAAAAACATTAGTGATGAAACCAAAAGAACAAATGAAAACGAAGCAAGAGCGGAAAAAAACTTGTTTTTGCCTCATCATACATCTTATGCTGTTGAAATCTAGTAGGAATTTTGTGGTCCTCTTGATTTTTAGATTGCTGCTGACATTTTGGTATTGTCTCGAATAAATTACATGTGGGAGGACAGTCAGATGGTGGTTGGATGGCCACCTATCAGAGCATTCAGGATGAACAACTTGTTCACCCATCCGAAAGACACCACCGCCCTCAAGAAGGCCGACGTCGACAGTGGTGTTGATAGCACTAGTAAGACCGCGAGTGGCAGCAGGGATCAGGAGGACAAAGGATGTGCTACGAGGAGTTCGTTCTTTGTTAAAGTGAAAATGGATGGTGATCCTATTGGTAGGAAGGTGGATCTCAGTGCCCATCACTCTTATGAAACTCTCGCGGTCGCGCTCGAGCTCATGTTTCACAAACCCACCATGGCCTTTGCCCTTGCGACCGCTGCCCGTAAGTGCGTTACCCGTAATTATGTGTATTTCGCTTCATGGTTGTTCTGCCTAGAATTCTGCAATCCATAATTTAAGATCTAGTTAGAATTCCTTCTGGGTTAGAGATTCTTATATCAATGTTAAAGCTTATAAACATATCGGCCCTTCCCTTTGCTGACAGTGTGTTTACGACTACTGGTTACTCAAGAAAAAAAATAAGATGCTATTAGAGTTTATTGTGAGTTTGAAACATGAATTGCTTAATCAAACATGTGCCATATCCTTTGTTGATGTGTAAATGTTAAACCAGCTTGCACGTTTAACGGGTTCTTGGCTGCCCGATCGAAAATTTAAAAGTGGAACTAGATTTGTAAGTATTCTGCTGTTCTCTGCCTCTTTGTATTTTATAGGAATTGAGTTAGATCCCACAAGTAATTAGGAATTGAGTTAGATTTGTAAATATTCGAACTTGGGCCGCACTGCTGTTCTCTGCCTCTTTGTACTCTATAGGAATTGAGTTAGATCAGACAAGTCTGTATTTTTTATCAGCATGTTGGAATGCAATGGAGTGCTAATTTCATTGGTATAAATGATGCAGATGGAGCGAAGGTTTCAAAGTTGTTAGATGCCTCTTCTGAGTTTGCTCTTACCTATGAAGACAAGGATGGTGACTGGATGCTGGTTGGAGATGTCCCCTGGGGGTAAGCCTTCTGATTACTACAGCTTGATACAGATACCGATACTTGTCTCGCGATACAAGCCTGTACCTGAACTCTGTAATTTCATGGTGTCTAAACTCTCAAGCAGCATTAGCAATAATATATTTGTACTATGTTTTTAATGCATACAGAGTTGCAATAATATAGTTGTGCTGCATGAATTTAAATTTTGTCCTTCTTCTTCTCTTTCTAAAGCATTTTATTGGCTCTATAGGTCTCTGATTCTGTTAAATACTATGATTTGCAGAATGTTTTTGGAAACAGTGAAGAGACTAAGGATTATGAGGACTTCAGATGCAAATGGGCTAAGTCAGCCAGTCCATTTTGGAAAGGTCAGTTCCCAGTCTTACAACATAGTAAATCAACCCTTGCATATCGCAAGTCAAAACCCTCCTACATTTTTAGCAAATTAATTGTTGTTTTGCTTGAAACACAATCCTAAGTGGACTTCTAATTTGAAATGCTTATTTGCATCGCTTGATATCTTAACATAGTTGGAATTATACGCAACTCCAGGGATTCTACTATCCTTCAACACTGCCAGTGGATCAATAGGAAGCAGTCCTGCCTGACTTGTTGTGGACTTTGGAGTATACAGAAAACAGAAGCTGAGATCAAGTTTTCTTTCAAGTTTAAGACCATTTGCCTCATTTTGCCAGTTAAGATCAGGTCTTGGAAAATTGCCACTAATGTTGGGTGGCTGATTAGGTAGATAAACATGTTTATGAATTTTGTGTGGTGATTCATAGCTTTGACCACTGCATGCTTGCTGTTATGATACTGTAAATACTGATTTTGTTCAGTTCAGGTTAAAAAGACTTGTTGCAAGTGTTCCTCAAATATCTAATGGATAGATTATTTTGCTGCTATTCCTGCTTTGATTATTACTCTTGTTTGAATCTGCCGGATATGGATTCGTCGTTCTCCATTGCATGTTTGCCCCCAGTGCAAGCTTCAACTTAAACATGGGAAAGAAACAAGATGGTTCTAAAACCCAGTATTCATTAAACTATTTATGGTAGTAGCAAAGGTTTTCACGTAAAATAAAAAATGAAAAAAAAAGATATTGATGAAAGAAAAAACAAATCAAAAGTTAGCTACCAACTAATTAGTTATTTCCAACTAAATAGTTAGTTATTTCCAACTAACTAGTCACCAATAATTAGTTAGTTACATCGTGAAAAGTATTCCCAATTTGAGCCAAAGTTACAATTATACTTACAATCACAAGGGTTTGGTTCGCCTCTCCAGCTTTCCTCCTCGACGACGAATCCTCTCAAGTCCGCCTCTGCTCGTTCCTCTCGTAGTTCCCTTCGCTCAGAGAGAGAGAGAGAGGAGTGGCGAAGGGGGGGAGGAGGAGAAGGTGATTTAGGGCATGGCAGCGGTGGCGATCCATCAGTTCGCGCAGTGCATCACCTGCCATGCTTGGTGCCCCGATCAATCTAGTAACCTCCGTTTCCTCAATTCTTCTCTCTTTTATCGGTTTGCTGCTATGTTCTTCAATCGTTCTTCCGGATCTACGTATGGGATCTTGAATGGGTAGCAGTTACTGTAGGATTAGCTTTCTTTTATTGCCGTCTATGATTGTTTATTAGAGTGATACTTCGTACGGCTATTTCCCACTTTCTGTTCGTTCCTTTTGATCCATGCGACGTGACTTCAATTTTGGTCTCCTTGAATTCGTTTGTGGAGTTTTTTGTTACCAGTGAAGGGTATTAGTACTATCTTAGAACCATTCTGTATTCTTACCGCTTTCCTTTCTATGTCATGTGCTTAGACCTGTTGCTCTCTCTTTCAACCACAATTTCCTAGAAAAACCTCTAGATTATCTATAACATGCACATCAAGGGACTTGAACAATGGTTCATAACTTCATACCTACTTTGTCACTGCATTTATATGCATGCTATGTCATGGTATGATGTGAATGTGTGGCGAGCATCTGATATAATGGACAATTCGTGAATGAATGAGTGCTTTTGTTGTTACAGGTAGCTTATAGAAAAACATATAAGAATTCATTAGTTAGTTTGGTCTTGATAACTTGTAGTTATTGAGCACTCTTGGAAGCTTTAATGGAGCAGGACATTTAAGTAGATATCTTCTGGAGGATGCAAGAATTAGTACTGCACTTGATCTTCTGGTTTCTATCATGTTAATAGAATATTTACTGATTCTCTGTCTATTAGATGGTCAGAGACATTTGCCTATCTCTTTATTCAATAAGATTTATCCCATGTTTTGGCAGAGCGATGATGCTTTATTTTAATTGCACCATTCTTTTGAAAGAAGCAAACAGGGTAAGATGTACGATATCTACTATATTAGTTTCAACACTTTGCAGTAACAAATCGACATTTGTGAAATTTCTCACAGTGGTGTGGATTTATGGTCCAAAGATGATTTTTAAGTTGCTGATGATGGACTATGCCTGCAGTTTTGTCAGTTTCTACTGCATGATTTTATGCATAATACTAGCTTAAATTGTGTTAAAAGAGAATTGATGTAGTGATAGTGGGATACCATGTCTAATAGGTTTAGTGTTTGCCTTCCATTAATAGGTCTACAAGAACCTCCTCATCGTTGTCTTCCTCGGTTTTCTATTGATCTGTAAGTTTCAGGATTCAATCACCTTTTGGTTCATTGTTATATTGCCCTTTTTTGGTTTGTATTGACAATAACTTACTTTAAATCATTAAGAATTGATAATAAGTCATGTACTTTATATGTTGAAGCTTACAACTCAATACTATTCTCTCTTGCAGTGGTTGCATTTTATCCAAACAATCACGAGGTTCATATCTATGAACTCGTGGTGAAAAATGGGAGAGGGTACATATACTTCAAACAGTATCATTATCTTTGTTTACTTCCTATTTTATATGACAGTATTATTATGAAGCTTACATCCTTTGGAAGCATTTGCATTTCGTGTTTGTAACTAGAGTAAGTCTTATTTCTTTCTTTGGCATTATAATCATGTATTCTGATTACAAACAATATATTTTAAGCTGTTATGGAATTTCTTTGTTGTAGGAATTGCTTATATTGTACCAAGCTGTATTTAGATAACACATTTCACTATATTGGAAATACTCACAACAATTTTGTTATATATCACACAGCTTTTGTAGATGCACTAAATATGAATTTGGAGCAGCTTAAGCCATTAAGATAAAGAAAAGGGCTTTAATAAATCCTGTAAAATTTAAGAAGCCTAGATTGATGGAGCTGGGAAACAATGAACTTGTTCTTATTAGACATATATATTTACATATATGGTTTGTTTTACTAGGTTGTATATGTATAGGTAAAGTTCTGTATAGCTAAAGGTCCTACTGATGAATGTCTTTTATTTTCATTTCAAGATTTCTTTCTTCCTAGCAATGACTAATACCACACCAAATACTCAAGAAATGGCTAATTATGCTAAATACAGAAAACTGCTAAAATTAGGGACCAACAATTATTGAAAGATTTTAAGTCCGGAGGATTTTCACCTATCTAAGTTTATGAGTGTCATGTGGTTTAGGCAGTGCTCATTCTCATAAACACTTCTTGTGTTTCTTGTCATTGTATTCTGCAGCAAATTAACTTGTATCTGGAATAGATTGGAGCATAAGATCTAACAAAATCGTAACTGTTTCACATGATCGGAATTCGAGAGTATCTTCCTATAAAAGATTGTACTCTGTGACAGTTAAGTATTCATGTGGTTAAGATGGTACTAACACATCCAGATTTACGTACCTTTTGATATTCCTAATCTCAGATATGTTTGGAATCAAGAAGCATCTGAGTGGGTACCTACTCTTATTATTCTTAGGCTTAATCGTGCTGCCCTTTGTGTTTAATGGAGTCCTAAAGGTGATAGGATGGGATGAGATGCACAATCTCACTTTTGTTTCTGTTCATCAATGGCTCTTGTTGGTGATTTTCTGCGTTTGAGTTAGATTGTTCTATAAAGTTTCATGTTCCTCTTGACTTATATGATTTTCTGCATTTGATATAACAGTATCGCTAAATTTGTTTTCTTTCATGTAAGCTATTTCTTAGATGGTACTTGCTCCCATTACTGTGCTACTGTCATCGTTGGAGCTTGTGTAATCTTCTACTTTTCCTGTCATTTGTTTTCCCACCTTGTCCCTCATTTGCTGAACTCTGCCATCTATCACCTTGACCCTTTTCTCCTTTCTTTTCCTTCTCCTCACTGTTTTTCTATTTTCTTGTTTTCTTTTCTTCTCCTCTTATGCCCTGCAACAGCCAGATCTAGTGCTACATATTCCTTTCTTTTTCTCGTTCTCCATTTCTTTGTGTTCTAAATCGTTACACGGCTCGAGCCATTCTTTTTTGTTAACAATGATTCTTTATTACTTTCTGTTCTGCTATATATTTGCTATTTATCATTTTTAGTAGCTATCTTTCATGTATCATGATTAAATAGATTAATAAAAAGGCTCCAACTTTTTGTCCTTTTGCAATTATGTATTAAGCGGATCATGGTCTTGTGGTACTTGGTTCAAAATGTATTTCTCTATTGTAGTTATTTATTGTGTATTTTTCTTTGTTCTGGATGTTTTGAATTGATGTATATTAACTGTATGCATAGCGCCCCGTGCACATATGTGAATGGTGAAGTATGTCTTCAGTACCTCTACTGCCTGGCATAACAGGACTCACAACTGTAGCCTTGGCTAATTAAAATATGAATGCACTTTATGGCTACTTTCTTTATGATTGCATCCTGCACCACCATAAATTCACAAGTTATTTTAACATAGTGGTATGATGTGCCTTGTTTGATGTATATGAACAAAACTGAAGAGCAAAGTGAGGGTGCAACCATGTCATTGTCATGTTTACTTTTATCCGTTGACTGTATCAACTTGAATGGTTGATGTGGATGACGGTGACAAATGATACCTGAATGAAGAGTGATGGGACACAACCATTTTACTGTTCAGTGAACAAAAAGTTTGAAAGGCCACATCCAATTTGAATTCTTAAAAAGTTTGATATGCCTCGTAATCTATGAAATTGCAATTTAGTATTAGTAGAACTTTTTGTTAAAATCTAACAAATACACTTGGAGTTATAGATTACTTGGATTTGGATCAGTAATCAGCAGAAGTTTTTATATTAAGATCTTGCCTGATATGTAAGGTTTTGGTTCAGGAGTATAATCTCAGAAAACAAGTTTGCTATTGGAAGTGGTGGTAAAACTGTATGCACATGTCACTACGAGCAAGAGAATAACTGGTCAGGAGTGGTAGCCAACCTTACGAGGGCTATTGAGTGTCGATAGAGGATCATTTGCTCTCGGTGTCATGAGAGGAATATCTCATGTATTCTTGCTCAGAAAAAACCCTGACCATGGTCATTTGGATTGAGAGAGAAAGAGTTCTCCGAGAGAATCCGATTAGAGCGAGACTCGAGTAGAAACTATATGGGCTTGATAGTACCAAGCTTGATATATGGTCTCTTAGATATTAGAATGATGAGGGACTATACGTATACGATAACTGAGGATAGATAGGTCCAAAGGATTAGATTCCATTGTATCATTTGCGGACTACGGCGTAGTGACCTAGTACGTCAATAGTCGATGAGTCGAGTGAATTATTATGGAAATGATAATTCACTAAGCTAGAAGGAGTTCTGACAGGTATGACTCACGGCCAGTTCGATACTGGGCCTAGAGGGTCATACACATATGATAGACATTGCGACGAGTAGATGTTCGGATATGAGATATCTGTCGGAGTCCCTATTCTATTCTACTCCGTGCATCTCCTATATTCAGTAGCTAACTTCTATGCTTACTACATATTGTATGCATCTCATATATGCAGTGTAATCAACTACCATGTGTCTTATACATCTGTTTACTTATATACATGAATACATCTGTCTTGGTGCTTGATAAAATTGTTCAATCTGGTCAAAAGGCTTTTTTTTTAATTTAGCACTTTCTATGGGCTCATCTTTGTTCATTGTCAATGATCAAGCTGCACATGTGCCAGCTAATTGAGGAATCTACAAATCTGCATCCAGTAGATATTATTTGTATTTTGGCTATTAAAAAATACATAGATAATTCCTAAGAGGCACTACCACATTTCATCTGATGCATAGTAAACTACTTCCCTCTCTTGCTAGTTTTATTTTTGATGACATTGTCTCAACAAGCATGTCTTTGTGCTTCAATAGCTGCACTGGTTTAAACTTTAAAATGTGTTCCAGAGCAGATATGTTAGTTTAAAGGTGAAATTCTGTAGATTGCATATGACAGTGATTAGAGTGTTTCATGTGGAATTGATAGAGCATCAGCACCTTTTTGACCAAGCTTCCTTGTTAAATTAATCTCAAAGCTAGTTGGCTAATAATTAGGGTATGCCCTATGGCCATAGGTACATTTGAGAACAATCATTTTGGAGGGAAGTATCCATGTAGGAGTTGTTGCACTTAGTACAACTTAAATTGTCAAAATTTCAACATGAATGAGTTCATTAAGTGGAATGGTCTAGTAGCTTGGCCTTTGAGAAAATAAAAAAGTATAAATAAAAAAATGTATTTTTTTGTCCTGCCTCTTCCGAAATCTTATAACGAACCTGATAGAAGACTGCAACTAAATCAACCTCTCCATTCTACTAAATACTTGTTGGTCATGGTTAAAATCTCGATAACAATCTAAGAAGGTTTGTCATATGTTTGGTCAAAACTCAAAGAACTATTTGAAGTCATTATTGCTCTAATTTTGGAAATCTGTCTAACCAGAGATTCTTTATTCTGCTCTTTCTAAGGGTTGACTAGTTCACGTCATTAAACTTTGTGCTTTCTTTATTTGTTTCTCTGGGAGAGCTAGCAGAAACTTTTGTTTTTAAAACTGATTGCGTTATGTAAACTAATTTTAACCCCCTTAACCTAAATTTAGTTTCTTACCCAAGATTATTCTTTTTCATTTGGTTAAAGCTTATCAAGAAGAAGCATAATTCTTCTGTTGCAAGTGTTGAATGGCATCCTACCAATGTAAGTTTGTCAATATAATCACCTTATTCATATCATGCAACCTTTTTTTTTTCGTTGAAGTTCAAACACTGAACAGTGTAATTTGGTCATTTTTATTTCAGTTTAACTTCCACACAAATTTTTGATGTCTAATTCTCTATTTTCTCTCCTGTCAAATAAATTGTTGAACTTCAGCATGTTTTCCAGCTAATATAACTTATTTTTTATGTTTGAACTGTAAGACTGCATGTCAAAATAATTTTCAAGATTTGAAACGTATCTAGAATACCAAGATGGTTAGCTGCTTTTGTTCTAAAACAATGAGTTTCGTGTTATTATGCTGTGAAAAAGAAGGTGAAATAGCAAGTGAAGTGGGTGAAAGAACAAAAGTGAAAAAGGAGAACACTTATGTATGACATATAGGATATCATGGAAATACAAGGAGATTTAGGGAAGATGTCAACCTACTGTGACACTGTAGGTGTGAATTTATCCTTCCTGATCCTTTTGGCATATATCTATTTATATAATGTAGAACGGTTGGGCTAGCTTGATAGCAAAAGAGGATGAGTAACTATGGATGTTAAAAGATGGAAAATCTTATTTGTTTGATTTTTAAGAATAAGAATGGAACAACTGCATAGTCAACAGATTTGTGAATCATTAAATTTGAAACAGTAATTGAAATAATAAAATAATGTACTGGTCTTGTCTCTGTTGGCTTTCTGTTATTGGATTTGGTGTAGAGCAATGATTTTGGATCATTAGATCTTTTAATCCAGATATGGGGCCTTTAAGAATGTACACTGGAATAATATATGAACATTTAGCATATCCCCCTTCTTGTTTTTGCTTCAATTGCAATATGACAATTGGTAACATGTAAAAGGGAGAAGCTGGACTTGGAAAAGTTAAATCGACTGATTTCATCTGCATTCATGAAACCTACTGTATTTACAAATGTGCATCTGTTTTTACACCTATTACCAGAACTAAAAGAGCAATGGTGCTTGCGACCATCATATCAGAACAAATTCCATTGTTTCTTTGACTTCATCTTTGACTTTGTGGTTGCAGATTCTTCTTGCAACAGCATATACTGATGATAAATGTCGGGTTTTCTCCACTTTCATCAAAGATTTAGATTCACTGTTGGTACAGATACTTGGTTACAACCTAAATGATACTTCTAAAGAAGATAGGTTATATTTGTTTGATTTGTGCTTAATAATTATAGCATTGATTGACTATAATAGAGACTACAACATGGCTATGTGTGTTCATATAACTTAATTTATTTGACTTCAAGGACTTGAAGACTGAAACTGAAGTCCTTCTAGTTTTCTCTAGAAGAGTCACGTGAGATCCTGTACATCATAGAACAATATATAGGCACAGCTGAAGTGGATTAGTTCCACAATACAGAAAGGATTTTGATGCTATGCTGTATGGATATTGAGATTATGACTTTGTGCACTAATAAGTAGATGGAAGAAGTGAAGGAAAGGAAGCGTCAGCTCCATCAGTTTTAATAGTCTTTTTTTGCAGAATAACACATCAGCAGTATTCAAAAGTTTGTATCATAACCTGCTTTTGTATCATAAAAATAATCTTTCCTGGTATAGTTCTCTTGTCCATTGGTATAGTCCAAGGTCTGGAATTTTGTGTTTTCTTAATGCTGAAATGTATCGGAAGTGCATCATGTTCCATTTTTCTGATGCTGTCTATCTTCAGCAGACCTCACTTTCTGCAATTGCTACCATCGGTATATCTTCATTTAGTTTTCAGCTGAATGGGTCTGTCTTTATTCTTGCGATTCATTTGCGTTCTAACGATAGAGATAAAATTGGAATCAGATTACGTCCTCATAATTAGTTATGTTGGGCTTATCCTGAATTGTTATGTATCATGATTTATCAAGAATTGAGAAAGTTCATTTGTCATCCTATGCTATCTACAAAATATGTGCTATCTACATGATATTAATTCAATGAATTAGTATAAATAACTAATCAATTTGATGGATAATAGCAATCTCGTGCTCTCTTAATTTTCCTTTTCCTAAAGAAAACTAGGAATTAGTTATGATTTTTTAATTTGTTAGACAATGTTAGATGTAATCCGATAAATCAACTCAAATCTTCCTTTTGCGTCCAATGTCGTAGCACAAGAGCCTGCCCGTGCATGGACCCTCCACGAAGGAAAGAAACACGCGACGACGGTGATGGAACGCCAAGATTCTGCACCCACTTGGAAGAGATAGAGCAGCATCATGTGTCCTTTTACCTGGTGCATGTACCTTGCAGAGCCGAGCTTTTAAGCATACAGCGGACTTATCACATCTTTGATTGTGATGATTCACAAGTCACCAGAACTACTGCTCCTTCCAAGTGCTTGTATGTGCCCGAAAAACCAAAGGATCGGTAACACCACTCTTGATGTAGCTTTGAGCTCACAAAAGAGTTTATCCATTTAGAATCTCAAAGCTTAGTGCCATGCATTCATGGATTCTGGACTTGCTGTCACTTAGGATGATTACTCTGGTTAGCCCAGCGGCCAATGACGACGATAAATTGTTCCATTATATTTTAAACACTAAACGTAATTACCGGCGGTTCTTTCTTAATTAATTTATGTATTAGATCCTAAAAACACAAGACTCAAGTTCCTAATTGGGAAGCATGTAAGTCATAAAGTTAATTGGAAAGTATTATTCAGAAGGTTTTTTAAGCATAATCATGAGATATATATTTGTTGAGACAGTACTTTCAAGTATGTTTATAGCTTAGGATATTACTGCATTCATACTCGACTTAGCACTTAGTTTTTGCATAATTTACCAACCTAGAAGATCCATATCCATTACGACTCTCTGACTGCACAAGCAAGAGAACGAGGCATATATGGTTTTTCCTGTCTTATTGCATTCAAACCTGTGTTCGCATCATTTGCAACACCTTTGTACACTGTTAGCCACTTCGCTAGGAGGAAGGCAACTCCAGACGCAGCCCAGACGCCGGCGGCAGTTAGTAGTTGATGTAGTGGCGGTCTTCGTCATATGAGAAAGAGGCGTCAGAAAAGCCGACCTCCTCGGGGAAGAAGGGAGCTCGGCACATGGGGCAGGTGCACTGTCCGTGATCCAACCACCGGTCGACGCACCGCCGGTGGAAGACGTGGCGGCAATTGCTCATCAGCCGGACCTCGTCGGCGCCCTCAAGCTCATAGAGGCACACGGCGCAGCTCTCGGGAAAGCAGTGGCGGCCGCGATGCGCGGCGAGTAGGTCCTCGAACTGGACGACTGGCAAGCTCTCCTGGATCAACTTGGCCGGAAGCGAGTAAAGACTTGTTTGGTGGTGGTAGCTGTGGATGTCTGAGTCATTCCACTGGGCTTCGGACCCCAGGAGGCTGCTGAGGCCAAGAGAGTGGAAGACCAGGTTGATAAGCCTTCTCAGGTGGAGTAAGAGGAAGAGCAGGTGGATGAGGAGCCTCGGGAGCTCGGGGTAGCCAAATGGGAACCCCATTGAAGGGTCAAACTGCAAGCGCAGAGAGAGAGAGAGAGAGAGAGAGGCTTATGGAGATCGCTAGGCCGGTGTGCAGAAGGGTGTGAGAAAGAAGGCTGGTGGATTGGTCATTTTGTACAGGGAGGAGAGGGATGTGGGACATGATTGATGAGATGAATCCCATGTGATGTTCATCTTGTGGATGGAAGCATTAAGTGAGTTGATGTCCAATTGGCCGATCATTCGAGGTGCGATGTGGTTCTTGGAAGTAAATTATTCTCACTCGTTCATCTCTCCACTTCTCCCTGCAAAAGGAAAAGGAGATGAACAATGACAAGTGTTGGTTGATGGGTTCACAAATTCATGTGTTTGTCTCATCATCATTGTCCTTTTCCTGTAAGTGCAAACTAGTCATTCGACTGCCAAATCCATGGCAGATAGCTTTCTTGAGTAGTTCTCAACAATGACATTGAGATTAGTAGCAGTCTCAACTCCTTGACTCTCCATATCACCTTTCATCCAACACGGATAACATCACGAGGCATGCAAGGTGGAAACAAGCCAACATGGTGGAGCTCATACGGAGCACCATGCCACTTGGTGCCACCATGATGCGCTCAACAAGCAAGCATGGGCTTTTGGCATCTCCCATTACATCTCTCCTCCATGTTAAGTTCACATGGTGGTGGTGGTGGTCGTGGTGGAGGATATGGAGGAGAGACAAAGAGTTATTAGTCTATTGTTTTGGAGTAGGGGAGTGGACACATCACATCACTAGCTCCTCCTTTGTCTTTCCCACCGTCGGCCATTAGAGCACCAACAGGAGCAAGAAACGGCGCCCGGAAGCGGACGACTTGTCTCCCTCCCCTGACTGTGCCATGCCCGGTGTGCCCAACTCTAAAAGGGAAGAAGAGCCAATGAACTCAACATACAGTGCTTGTCCTTCCACAGTTTTCTTTGTTAAGGGAATCATTCGGGTTGATCAATCTGCACCCACATCATGCTACTGTTGCTGTTTTATTTACCCAGATATTAAATTGCTAGGAACAGCCTCACTTTTAGCGTCATGCTTGGGATGGGTGTCAGCGAGAGATCTCCACGAGGAGGAGGAGACGTGGGAAAGGGATAAGTACCATATTACCTACTAAATATATTAACAATGAGGGAGAGAGAGAGAGAGAGAGAGAGAGAGATGATTACCAACTTATCCACATTAAAAGGTATTTTCCTTATGAATAAAAAAAATAATATTTTCCTCACTTAAATTTATATAAAAAAATATTTTCCTCAGGAATAAAAAAAAAAGGGAATTAAAGAGCCTCATTTTTAGTGCACTTTGAATATTTAAAAAGGCATTATTGTTGGCAAATTAAAACCATAAATTCCAATGTATTTAATACACATCAAACTCGATTGCACAATTCTTTGTGTCCGACTCCATCCCAAACTTAACGAAGAGAGCATCCCACCTTACTTCCATGCACGTTCTAATGGAAACTTGCATGCACGTTGCAGTTCCTCGACGAAGAACCAAATGCAGAATCCCCGAACCATCCTTACTCTTGGCTCAAATTTTCGTCCGATTCAAAGTAAATATTGCCTGTTCCTCGACCCATTTTGGTAATTCCCCATGCACTTCACGCCCATCGTGCAGTCGACGTCCAAGCGCGGCATCAGAATTCTCCATCGCAGACACATGCAGTGTTGCATGTATAAATAGCTGATAGCAGTTTGGGCAATGCAGGGAGAAACCAAGGAAGAAATGGCTTCGTCGTCGTCGTCGTCGCTCCTGTGCAATCTCGGGTTACTGGTGCTGGCAATGGCGATAGCCAGAGCTGGCGCCGTGTTTCGCCCCACGCCGTGGTCGATGGCCCACGCCACCTTCTACGGCGACGAGTCTGCGTCAGAAACCATGGGTTTGTCTCATCTCAACATCGCTTAATGCATCTGTGGAACAGATCTAACGTTGTGAATGGCATCTTTACGTATCTCTCAGGTGGAGCTTGCGGATATGGCAACCTGTTCAGCACGGGATACGGCACGAACACCGCGGCACTGAGCTCGGTGCTGTTCAAGGACGGATTTGGCTGCGGAAGCTGCTACCAGATACGCTGCTCCGGCGCCTCCGCGTGCTACAGGGGTTCCCCGATCATCACCGTGACAGCCACCAACCTCTGCCCCCCCAACTGGGCTCAGCCCTCCGACAACGGTGGGTGGTGCAACCCCCCGAGAGTGCACTTCGACATGTCGAAGCCGGCGTTCATGAAGATCGCCGACTGGCATGCCGGTATCGTGCCGGTCATGTACCGCAGGTAATCAAAACCATCCATCCTTCCGTTCTCACTGCCGCCATGAAGAGTGCTGAAACACCATGGCATGCATGGTTGCAGGGTTCCTTGCCCGGTTCGCGGTGGAATCCGGTTCCTGCTGCAGGGGAACGGGTACTGGCTGCTGGCCTTCGTGACGAACGTGGGAGGCGGAGGAGACGTCGCCAGGATGTGGGTGAAGGGAAGCAACACGGGGTGGATCAGCATGAGCCAGAACTGGGGTGCTTCCTACCAGGCCTTCTCGAGCCTGGGAGGGCAATCCCTTTCCTTCAAGATCATGTCCTACACCACGAGAAATACCATCATCGCGTCCGAGGTCGCTCCTTCGAACTGGAACGTGGGGTTAACCTACGAGGCAACCGTAAACTTCCATTGATGTGGGACCTTCGATGTTCTTGTCCATGGAAGCTCTGGTAGAGAAGAAAGGCTGCCCACTAGGCTAGAAGGCCTTGTTTGGTGCAGATTGGGATAGGTTTGGTTCTGTAATCTTCTCGAGTCTATTAACAGATCAATGATACTGCTCATCGTTTGGCTTATTGGGTAATGGATCGAGCTACGGATTGCAGTGCATCTACCACGAAATCGTTGACCAAGTCAATGGGAACTCACCACGTTTTATCTTGCTTACTGGGCTAATGGTTCAAGTTACGGACGGTACCTTCGATGTGACTGGGGAGGGGCCCGTGCGGGACCCGCCTGTGGGGGTAGCCGAGAGGCGTAGCCGTAAGAGGGTGGGAAATGACGTATTTGTTTTCTTTTTCCTAGGACGCTTTACGTAGCAACTGAGGTTACGATAGACACTCGTCGCGACTCAAGGCGGGACGTGAGGCTGCGCACCTCGCCGTCGTCCTTTCGACGAGGAGAAGACGCGAGGCAGCGGAACCTAAGCGGATCGCGAAGCTTTAGGGGACCGCGGGCGAGCAGATGGTGGGCATTTGCATGAATCGAGGAGGACGGAGAGACACGAAAAAAGGTTCTCAATGCTCACGAAAACGAGACGGCCTTTTGCGCCAATCGGAGAGCTCGCCCTTCAAATCACAGTGACTCCGCCTTCGCCTAAGTCTCATTCAGCCTCCTCCTCCTCCAACCCCCACGCCATTGAACTTTCTGCAACCTTTAACCCATTAAACAAGCGACGGAGAGAGGAAGCAGAACCACGAGCACAGAGAGGGCGGGAGAGCAAGAAGAAGAAGAAGAAGACGAGGTTGGTGAGGAACAGGAGAAGCACGTGAGGCGGGACTCTCGAGACCTCGGCCAGCCGAGCCGCGTGTCCACACCTCGTGGGCTGCTGCTCTCGTACGTACGATCACCCCACGCCACGCCGGACACGCACCTACCGCCACCACCACCTCCCCTCCCCCTCCTCCTCCCCACTCACCTCGTACTGACCCCTGCGACAGAACCACCACCGCACCCCTCCGAAGCCTCAGCTTTACAAGAAAGCTCTCTCTCTCTCTCTCTCTCGCGTTTCTGTATTTTCCTTCACACACACACACACACACACAGAGGTAATGAATGAGAGGTTAGCACTTGGATCTTTTTCCGCATATTACTTCGACGATCATTATACAGGCAGATCAGATGGACAAAGCACAAACAACTAAGAAAAAAGTACTACTCTTCTCTTAAGAATGGACGTTCTTTTCGCATACATAAATCAATAGTGAGATGACTCACTGTTTAGTTTCTTCCTCGGATGATGGGGGAGGAGGAAGAGAAATGATGATGATGTGCCCATGGCATCACTCGACACAAGATCACATTTTAAGGTTCTAAGATGTCATCAAAGAACTCATTGGAGATGTACATAAATCGATGCTTTTCCAAATCAACCTAAACCAGAGGCAAAATTATGTTATTCTCTGATAAAGCGGTCAGCCCTACCAAGTAGGAAAAGTTCCCATGAACTTTAGACTCCAACGCTGTCCATGTCCTTTAGATTCTACAATTACAATACATTATGCTTTTCCTTAAAATGAAATGGAAGAATTGAAAGACTAACGCACACAAATCCAGAATAATATAGGAAAAGGCTAAAGAAACAGCAGCTGAGAAGACAATGTTTGCTGTGCTAACAGGTGAGGCCACAAATGCTCTCACTTCCCCTCTTTCTTCGTTCCTTAATTTGTTTTAGAATCTACGACAGTGTGACCAATAAGGAAAGGGATGCATAAAAAAGGAAGAAGCGAGGAGGACCGACACCAGAGAAGAAAGTGTTATTCTTTTCCTTTCTGTGATTATTCTTTAGCCATTTGTGGAAGTGCGGTTTCCAGCTTTAGTATCCTCTTACCCTTCATAAGTCCCCTAAGGTTCAGAGAACGACTGAGATGGGAGCCCAAGAGTGAAGAGATCACAGTTCAGATCAGAAGAACGGTAGAGAGAGAGAGAGTGACAGAGAGAGAGAGAGAGAGAGAGAGAGAGAGAGAGAGAGAGAGAGAGAGAG